ATAAAATAAAGTGTAGAATAATAGGGGTTATGCATCGGGGCTTGCCTAGGTAAGATATAACCAAAGTTAACGTTCCATCATGATGACACGATCGTCAAGGCATCATCTTCTCTACTACTTCGGTCGACTCCATGATCTATTGTTGTTCCTATTATGATATTCGTGGATGCAAGGCAGAGACGTAAATAATCAACGACGATCGCAACTCTTAAAATACGATTACGCCTCTCAAGTTAACGAGCTAGTTCTAACGACTAACGAACTAGACCACGTATCCAAGTTGTCGAACTAGGCGCTAATTTCCCACATTGTTTTAGTTATAAAATACCTAAGTGTTTCTTTATTAATTAAATATATATTTGAACTATGACTCATTTAGCTACCTTAGCAAAATAATTATTATGGAGCTATAAAAATTACAGTGAGCACCTAATAATGGTAGGAATTCACTGTAAAAGTTTCAGAGCCAACACTATTACCAATTTATCAAAAAATTCCTACAAGTTTATGCTTAAATAATATTGGAGCATGTTAAAATATTTAAGGCAACCATGAAATATTTTAGAACCATGTGAACCAAGTACACTACCAGGTAGATCATAATTTTATGAACTTAACAAAATTGGTTTCATAATTTTTGGTCAACTACACAAATTTCTATTGAATTTACAAGTTTACCTTGAAAACCTAATTAGAAAAGGAAAAAATCTATTTTTGGCCCTCTAACTATGACTGTAGTTTTTTTCTAGCCCTCTAACTCGAAAACCAGACACGCGTAGTCTCTTAACTCTCAAAACCAGTTAAAATTGCCCTCGCGCCCATTCGACCGTGGTTTCCACCCAGTCAACCCACCACGACCGCGGTTTCGGCCTAGTCTCCATGTCTAGCGGCCCAAGTAGTCCCGCACTCTCCTCTCACTCTCGTTCCTTCCCCAACCCCAAACCCTAACTCCCGATGGTGGCGACGGCGAGGGTGCTAGTGCCGGTGCGGCGCAGGTGCTCCAACGCTGAGGGTGCCAGGGGTGCAGATCAACATCAGATGCGGGGCTAGGTGGTCCCCGTGCTACGCCAAGGGCCAGGTTGTTCTTCTTTAGTTTGAATCGAAGCCTTTTTTATGGAATGGAAGTTCCTTTTTAGGGATCAGGTGGTTGAAGTCATTTTTACCATTAGATGACGTGGTATATGATTAGTTTATGAATTCCGTTTGTTTAAGCAGACTTCGTGTGTTGTGTAACTATGTAATTGTTTATGCGGTTGTAAGTGTGATGTTAATTATCTTCCCATTGCATGTAATGTAGGTCATTTTATGCGCTATGGACCCTCTGGATACTCTTCCTATTCGGTTTCGTTATGGAGGAGAATTCTTGAGAAGAGGAAATAATGTGTATTACTTGGGAGGACAAGTGGTGGTGTCATACATTGACCGTGATAAAGTCTCTCTCCCTGAGGTTATGGGGCACCTTAATGATCATTGCACTATTGAAGAAGGAGCATTGTTGCACTGTCTTGTTCCTAGAAGGCAGCTTTCTAATAGCCTACGTGTTCTGATGGATGATCAGGCTTGCATTAAAATAGCAAACAACACCGAGGAAGGAGATGTAGCAGAGATATATGTTGAAGGACATGTAGTTGATGATGAAGAGGAAGAGGATGATGAGGATAGCAACTTTGAAGATGAGATTGAAGGTGAGCAAGAAGAACATGATGACAGTGAGTTTGAAGGTGGATATGAGAAACTGACAGATCCAGGTGAAGATGTCTTGGTTGCTCATCATAAGAATGAAAGTAGGGAAGATGTAGAGAAACATATCAAATTTATAAGGGAGTGGTACAACCCTAGCAAGATGGACAAGGGGAAGCAGGTGGTTGATGACCAAGGTAGTTAGCCAGTTGCTAGTCAACTAAATATTTCAAGTGTTTTGAATGACAAAGAAATTTTAGAGGAGAGCGGTGACAGTGAGTTTTTGCCTGGAGATAACAATTCATTCGAGGAAGATGAAGAAGTTGTACAGATTCAAAAGAAGGTCAAGGAATTCAAGAAGAGCATGAAGAGTGGACAAGTAGCAAATCTGGATGATGTCATCTTGGATAGGCCAAATTCTGCGCCAACCTGAAAAGAGCAAAGGCAATTGTCATGTAGAAAGCACTAGATGCAACCAAAGGCTAGTACCAACTTTTGTACATATATCGGCTTGAATTGTTGACAAGTAATCCTGGCAGCACAACCATTGTCAAAAAAGAGTTTCAGTTGGAACCACCAGTATTTCAGAGAATGTATATTTGCCTGGATGCATGTAAAAAAGGATTCATGGCAAGGTGTAGAAAAGTGTTAGGTCTAGAAAATTGTTAACTTGCATTGTACTGCCAGACTTTTAAGGCTTTTAGGTTGTTGAACTTGTAGTGTAATGCCAGACTTTTAAGGCATTTGTGACGTTCTTCACCTGTAATGTAATGTAATGCCAGACTTTTAGGTTGTAATGCCAGACCTTTAATGTTGTTGGCATAGTGGCTTCTCTTGTTGTGGTTTATCAATTACGGGTTAGTCTTCTGTCTTGTGTGAAAGTATGTGAATTCTTGATTGGAGCCTCCATACAACAACGATAGCACTAGAATTCATAATCGATTCAAAGATAGCAAAATACATCTTGAATTCAATACATCTTCCATACTTCTACACCACAAACTAACAAGCATCCAACTACTACCATTGTCTTCCATCACAACTAAAAAAGCAAGAAACATCTACTTCCTAAAAAGTAGAACAAGCACTAGAATCACATAGGCCGCCAATACAAACTTCAACAAATCTAGTTCCTTCTCTACCATCTTGCATTTCAACTAAACATCTTCTGCTCTAGTTGTTCGCACCGTTGGTGCCACATCATCTGTGCCTGCAAATCCTGTTTCCACCATGACTCTTCCTTGCTGCCTTGATGCTTCTCCATCAATGAATGCTGCATCAACGAATGCAAGATCCATGTGGCCATTTCCCTGTCTGTTAGCCGTCCTCATTGCTCGACTTGGTCATGGAGCTCAATAAGAACAGGTACAAGGTGCTCCAGGGTTGGTGGATCAATCCAGCGATAAAATTGGCATGGCCGCATATTGCTCTACAACCGTGATTACAACCAAAACCTAGACAATTTTAATCATGACATCCAACAAAGAACTAAACCCTAAACAAGTCATTGATCGAACTCACCTGAGATCCAAAGCAATTGTAGAACCTGCGTCCCGGATTATCATTGGTCCATGATGTCCACTTTGCCGCCTTCGCTCCGTAATCGTAAATCACGGGAGGCCAATAATCAAGAAGGCCTTGGCAACACTAGAAGGGGGACCACCGAAAGCCACCATGGTTTGACCTTCCTCCTCCCCTCTAGCTACTTGCGCTGCTCGAGCTCGCCATGCTGTCGATCCGCACCTACGCCGCACCCGCACCAACACCCTCAGCCGTCGTCGCCGTCGTTGTCGCCGCCGTCGGGTGTTAGGGTTCGGGATTGGGGAAGGAACGAGAGTGAGAGGAGAGCGCGGGACTACTTGGGCCGCCAGACATGGAGACTAGGTCAAAACCGCGATCGTGGCGGGTTGACTAGACGAAAGCCGCGGTCTAATGGGCGCGAGGGCCAATTTTAACTGGTTTTGAGAGTTAAGAGACTGCGCGTGTCTGGTTTTCGAGTTAGAGGGCTAGAAAAAAAACTGCAGCCATAGTTGGAGGGCCACAATGGACATTTTCCATTAGAAAATGCGTTAGGAATGGAAAGGGCCGGCGGCATCCAAATAGGCCCAGCAGCCCAACGCGGACCGCGCAGAACGAGGCCATGCGCCAGCAGGCCGGCCCAACGAGTGGCCCACGGCGGACACGCCCCGCGCGCGATGGCAACTTTGCAGGAAAGCCCCTGAGGTTTCAGATATTAATACCACTACTATGTGCACTATGCCTTACGTCAATGGTTTTATAAACTAGCCCCCGAACTATTCGCCTTGACAACGGGTGGCCCCCGATGCCACCGCGCTCACCGGCGAAGCTCCGACCGGCATTGATGGCTAAGCCGGCCAACCAAGGCTTAATTGGCACCCCTAACTGACCGATGGAGACCTACGGACCTACGCGCATCCATGCGAAATAGAAGGGAGCTCAACGGTGCACTACCACATCTAACCACGACGTCGGGCCGAACCACGCGGTGGCGCAAGCGTTCCGGCAGACTAGGGCATTAACGGAGGAGTAAAGATAGTGGGGAAGCACTAGGAGCTCACCACGATCCGAGTTGTAGTGACGGTTGAAGCGGAGAAGGGGTCAGGGTGGTCAGTCCACGCGCGAGTTGACGGGGCAGCGGCGCTCCGAGGCGGGCACCGACGTGTCACCTCACCGCCGACAAGCACCCTAGCCAAAATCACACGAGCACCGAATAGGGGACATCAAGGCGAGCTCAGGGATACGATCAATCGAATTTTACCCTACGGGCATTACCCCCAATTTCCCGAGCACGGCGGTGATTTTTGACCGGTGACGAGCCAAACGCCAAATTGGCCGACCGCAATGTCCAGCTGCGCCTTGGTGCGGGCCGGGCTTCTAGATAACCTCCTAGCTTGTCATCCTACCAGCAGTGTGAGCTGAGGGCAAATGCCTGGAACAGAATGGGCATGTGGTAGTATTAGCTTACAGTCCCAGATGATTTTGTTTCATATACTTTGCTACTTCGAGATTTCAGAATCGCCCAATTATATATATATGATGCTATTGTTTCTAGTTTGATCTGGACATTCTGTGCTCACTGGCCATTTTATGGTGCTGCTGCCGTAAGATTTGGTGTATTGTTCATAAATGATCAAGCATAAGCTCAACCTTGTCTTAAATGTATTATCGTAATTTGATTAATTTATAGTCATGTATGCCGAACTTTTTTTTTATCATATTGCACATGAAAATTTTGACTAGGTTCAAATCCAGGGTCCGCCACTGCTTGCCTGCTTCCCCATCCGGCAGCCTTGGAGTCCATGAAGAAGGAGGCGAAGCAAACGCCGCCGCCAAGCCCAACCGCTGACCAAGATGGCGCCGGCGACGATCGGCTCAGCGCCTTGGACGATGACTTGTGCGAGCTCATCCTCAGGTTGGCGCACCTCAACGTGAGGGAGCTGGTGCGCACGAGCGTGCTGTCGAAGCGGTGGCGCGGCCTCTGGAAGCGCTTACCTGTCCTGGACTTCTTTGGGTGGCCGGAGTTCAAGTCGGCCGGCGAAGTCCAACAGTACATTGCCATCGTCAACGATGTACTGGAGCAGCGAGCGGGTGCGACATCGGAATCGTCAACGATGTACTGGAGCAGCGAGCGGGTGCGACATCGGAAGCCCGCATCAACGAAGTGAAGATCCCGCTGCTAATGGACGCGTACTCTCTCCACGGCCTGCAGCCGCTGCGGCTGGCCAGCGGCTGTGGCCAGCCGCAGCCACTGCAGCCGCACGGGCAACAGCCGAACAACTCCTGACGCCGTCCATGGAAGCAGCTGAGGCGTGGATTCGGTACGCCATGCATCACCAAGTGAAGGACTTCCAGTTCAACCTTCGCCTGGTGCCAGACTCCTGTAATGGATCTTGATGAAGAGGTTAAGCACAGGCCCGGTCCTGCAATGGATCTTGATGATGGGCTTCTTTTACGACAATGCGCTCCCCAAAGCTGGTGACGAGTCTATGCGACGGACTTTCCTCACACGCCCAAAGATTTTTGGGCCACATATATGATTTTCTATTGAACTGAGTATACCAGCTTAATGTACATACCTGCGCAAATGTCCGACTCCCACATGGAGAAGGTGTCCAGGGCCGGGCCTGGTTAAGCAGCGCAAATGTCCGACTCCCACGCACCGCGGTGTTCTCATCACTCAAGGACCTCACCCTCGAATTCGTGGAGTTAGCAGCAGGCAGTGGCCACCGTCTTGCTCGCCTCTTGTCATCGGTGTGCTGCCCAAGCTTGCAGAAACTGCGCATGATGTGCGTCGACTTGTTGCGCGCCGGGACCAAGGAGCTGGTGCTCGACACCGGTGAGCTCTTGGAGCTGTCCATGGAGGCCGTTGAGGGGATGGAGTTGCTGGAACTGAGGACCCCGAAGCTCCTGTATCTTGAGATCGACGAGTGCTATCACGAGTCACTCAGGGTCTCGGCACCGAGGCTCGAGGACCTCACTTATGTCTGTAACAGAGCCTTCATCCATGACCCTTTGCCGCGCGTGTGGCGCTTAAAGATTGACTTGCTCACCCATATGGAGGATGATGACGATGACGGAGATGCAAATAGTTCTAGTATCTGCCTCCTGAAGCGTTGTAGTTCTTCAGTCAGATGCCTGCTCGTGCATCCTCTTTTAGTTCCATCGGTACGTATATATCTTGTGAGACTGCGGCATTTATTTGCACTGTCTGTTTCACACTCTTTCAATTCGTTGGCTTTGTTAGAAGCAAAGTTCAAATCTGATCTATTGCTGACAATATTCCTTTTCCTGTTGCTTAATTGCATCTGTTGTTTCTGACCCTTGATTTGATCGTCAGGGAGATAAGCGGCAAGCTGACTTGATCAAAGATAAGATACCACAGCTTCCTAATGTCACGTCTTTGTTGGTTAGCATTGCTCATACATGTGAGTGCCATTCCTTTGGAGATGGGGTCGCAGGTCTCCTCACAAGATTCAAAAATCTCGAATATCTCAGTCTACAGTCAGATATCTGCCCTAAGACGGTGAGCAGCACGTTATCCTAACTCCAAATTAAACAAGCCTGCAGCCTTATATATTTGTTTCATCCAGAGTTTCCATCTCACTAAACCATGCATATCGATCTCCATGTTGCAACAGGATGAATATTACTCAGCAGATGATGTAGACTCAGCTTTCACCTGCAACCATCCAGACCACTGGGAATCAAGCAATATCTCTCTAGCTAACCTCCGCAAAGCAGATTTCAGGGGAATGACTGGAACTGGCTGTGAACTCCGCTTCTTGCGGTTCGTGCTCGCAAACGCCACAGATCTTCAAAGTGTGACTGTAAGCTTCAACTTGTACTTCATTGAAGAAGAACTACAAGACAGCTGGATGCATTATTTTCTGCATACACTGCTCGGAGATGGAATGTGGACCACCTGTGAGAATGAGGATCAGGATTTTGAGAAGCTGTATAAGTGTAGTAAGTTGTATAAGTGGACACCTTCTCCATGAACTGAGAGATGGATGTGTAATTGCAGAAAGCGCGTGCGTCTCTTGCTAAATTATATTTGTCAATTAGTATCTAGTACTATGTCTGTTTTCTTAGTTAGTTTCTTTAACTTCCTTGTTGGAACTGTATATAAACTATTTTCTGCTTTCCTACACTATAATGAAAGGGCAGAGTGCCTGCCACAGTTGCTCAAAAAATTAGTACTATGTCATTCTTGTTACGACTTATATTGTATTGTTTGCCTGTGGCTTTCTTCTATGAAAAATAAATCACACAGTGGAGCAATAAATTTGTTTTTTTTTCAACATGATTCTTTGTTTTAGGAAAAAAGACAAAAAAAATGATTAATGGAAATCGTTCTACGTGTGTACCATGAAAAATGATTATTCTCATGGAAATTGATTATTCTCATAAAACAGATATCGTTCTACTAGGAATGACCTTCAAATTTTATTTCGCGTAAGAGTGGAAACATAGATTTCATTTCACGAGAGAATAAAAATTAAAGAATGACAACCTATAATGCTTCGAGATTTCAGAATCGCCCAATTATATATATATATATATGCTGCTATTGTTTCTAGTTTGATCTGGACATTCTGTGCTCTCTGGGCATTTTATGGTGCTCCTGCCGTAAGATTTGGTGTATTGTTCATACATGATCAAGCATAAACTCAACCTTGTTCATTTACTTTTGGTCGGTGTAAGGAAGCAAATGCACGACGAAATCTAGTATTGCTGTTCATATTTCTAGAGGAAGCAAATGCACGACGAAGGCCCAGTTCCACGGGAGGAATTTGGAGGAATCTGAATAAATTTGGAGAAATTTGTGAGAGAGTAAACAGTGTTTCCAGCCATGAACGGTGAAAAACCGGCTGGTTTATGACCATCCGAACGTGGCCGAAATCTAGTATTGCTGTTCATATTTCTATCTGACATGCTGTGTATGACTTGCTGAAGCAGGTAGCAGTGCTGAACTGCTGAAGACAGCTGTGCTCAGGCACCGAAATCTTCAGATCTGAAATTTAAAACGGAAGTGAGCCGCCCAACTGGTGATCCAGCACTTCCCCCGTATCATGTCCACCAGAAGCGAGAGGCCGTGTGCCTTCGTGACCCCCTTGGCGGTCCCGGGTCCCTTCTCCGGTGGCTCCGGCTCCAGCCCCACCATGGTCGCGACGGATAGCACTGGGAGGTGCTCGTCCTCCGGGGCGCCAACGAAGAGCCGAAAGCCACCGTTCCGGCCCGCCGCAGACGACACAAAGCCCGTCCTCCGCGACCCGGTTCGTATCCCACTTGGCTAGCAGCGCTTGTTCCTCGTTGCATCTCCTGTTCGTGCAAAGTTGCTGATCTAGGGAGGGTTCTGGTTCTGGGATTTTTGGGGGGTGTTGTTGCAGATCTCGCGGTCGGACCCGGTGGACACCGAGCACGCCATGCTGCGGCTGCCGCCCTTCCCCTAAGATCGCGCCACCCGATGGTACGCAGTAATAGCTAGTACTAGTGTGTATCTCTGGGTCCTGGTTCTGCATCTGTGGACTCATTTTTTTAGTTTTGTAGCATTAGCAACGACTATGCTTTGGTTTCTTCTGTTTAAGGCTAGCTTCGAGGAGTTGATTGGTCCAATGTGTATCATCATAAGATTTTGTGGACATATGTTTTTTCTTTGTCTTCTGGATGCAGTTCACGTGTGACTGCACTTAGTATTGCTAATTTGCTGACTGAGATCCTGATTTGGCAGAAGTAGAGTTACACCTATAGCCACAGCTCTTCTTAAGTAGATTGGGTCTTCTTGATGGTTGGACCCCTTTTGTGGAAAGCATTCTTGTTCCAGATTCTGGAATAATGCTAAAAAAAATGATTTGCTTTATGAGATTGGCATATGAAAATAAAAAAAAATGTTGAGAACTGAGAACATTCAAACTAGTATATTAGGTGGTGAGAACTGAGATTTTCTAATCCGCAGGTACAGCCAAACATTTGAAATCCAAAGGTACAGCCAAAAAATGAATTGAAAAGAGAAAATTCTGCTAAATTATCACAAATACTCCTTTCACCGTGTAGTGGGCCAGTGGCACAATACCAGGAGTGTACTAGTGTTGAATCTGTGCTGACTTAGTAGTGACAGTTGCTACCTTACCTGCTATTCTTTATGATTCATGTGTGATAATGAATCTTTTCTTATGAACAGTGTCAGTGATAGATTTTTAGGTCTTCCCCACATTTAACCATTTACAATTTCATGGGGAAATGGCTAATTCACTTAGTCGTGAAGGTAACAGCCTAACAGGTATAAGTGCTGCAGCAGTGGAGTATAACAAGGTAGTATAAGAAGTACTCTCTCCGTTCCAAATTAGAAGACGTTTTGGCTTTTTTAGATTCATAGCTTTTGCTACGCACCTAAATATAGTGTATGTCTAAATACATAACAAAAGAATGTATCTAGAAAAGCTAAAACATCTTATAATTTGGAATGGATGAAGTAAGAACTAAGAATTTTTGTTTTGTTTATGGCATGCAATCTTTAAAAGCTACAACAATATGACATCGAACATACTTGGCTGCATTTGACTATGTCTGATATTGAACAACTGTGGCAGCATGGAACTGTATCCTTTTTGCAATAAGGAGCCCAAAGGATCTGCAGTTTATTGTTCTGGACTGATTATGCTTAATGAAATCTAGACATGCCAGAATAGCTTACAATTTGGAATGGAGAGAGTATATACCATTGACATGTCTAGGAATTGATGCAAATATGAGTTCCCAAAAAAAAGAAAAAAAGGAAAAAGTTTGAGTTCACACCAATTAAAGAAATTGGAGCAAATCTAAGTTTAGGGAAGTTAGCAGTGAAATCGGAAATGAAATCAATGGCACAAGTTATCTCCTTTTATCACCCCATTCAACAAAAGGAACTGTTCTGTAATATCATACTCCTCCGTTTTAAATTATAAGTCACTTTGACTTTTTTAATGCATCCATTTTGCTATCTAGACATACTCCCTCTATCCTGAATAAATAGATTTCTGGAGTTGTAAGTCAAACTTTTTAAACTTTGACCGAATTTGTAGAAAAAAACATCAAGATTTATGATATCAAACTAGTACCATTAGATTTACCATAAATATATTTTTCATAATGTGCTAATTTTATAGTTAGTCAAACTTAAAAAAGTTTGACTGGCACGGATTGTAGGAATTGATTTATTTGGGGACAGAGGGAATATTATTATATCTTGATGCATAGCAAAATGGATGTACCAAAAAAGTCAAAGCGACTTATAATTTGGAACGGAGGAAGTAGCTACCTATTCAGGTGTCATTCATCTGTATAAACAAAGATAATAGTCGCATTCTTATATTGGTGACTGTAGTTAATTTTTTTCTACAATGTATGTCTCCTTTGTCGATACAAAGTTGAGCTGAGAGCAGAATACTAAAATAATTTCTTGTAAAAAACATACACACTGTGCAATGTTTTGTCTAGTCCATGATCTGAAACGGTTGTCGCAAACTCGCAATTTTGGAATGACATTGACAGAAGGCCTACTTCATTCCAAGACTTCCCTTATGCCAAACGTGGCTACACTACCACTGGTGCCTTTGGATTCACAAATGCTACCTTGTTGGAGACATCAATCAACTTGGCTCTTACATGAGTGGATTTTTGTTCAGATGGAGGACATGAATGAATGCATATTAAAAAAATTCAGAATTATCGTGGAAAGTAGAGAAGATCAGAAGATGGGGGATATTAATGAATGCATCTTTTTTTATCTTAGCTTCAAGAGGCCTCCTGAAAAAAAGGTTTGAGTGAGAAATCTTCCCTCTGGTTGATCAACTAAAGCTTCAGATAGCCCTTTCCAGTCTTGTTATAGCCAATCATTTTTGAAGTTTGCAAACTGGTACTGCAATGAATGAAGATATGGGGAGACAAACCAGTCAAGGTTCAAAAATATATGTACTCGAAAATCTGAACTCAGACATGCTATTGTAAACAAAGTCAAGTTAAATGGAACAGGGTACATGTTGACCTTGATAGGTGCTGTGGCCCTGTTCGGCTTGCTGAATCTTGGCTGAAACTGGCTGAAAAACACTGTTCTGGCTGAATTGTTATGAGAGAAAAACACTGTCCAGCTGAAAAAACAAGCCGAACATGAGGTAAGCCGAATCTGGGCTGAAAACACTGTGCCTAGAACCGGAGGATACTGCCCCGTATTCTCAGGCTCACAGATTCCAGCACTGATGATGCCCAAACATGAAACAACAGATTGAATGTTGTCCTTTCCCTTTGCAAAGGAAAAGTATTGAGACATTTGTCGCCGTTTGCCGAGCTCCGAAGTCACAAACTCCATTTCACGGTGCCACGGATTCCATAGAGCTGACAACAGTTGGGGGAGACGACAAAGGTCAGCGGCAAGCACTTGGGCGATATCTGGAGTCTGGCGGCTGGAGGAGATCCGAAGATGGCAAAGGGTCAATGTCTAATGGCTAGGGAAATGAAAGGGTGGTTAGGGTGCTTGGCGCCTAGGCGACACACTTCGGCGCTATTCCCTCTGTTCTAAACTATAAGTCATTCTAGCTTTCTTGAAGAATCAAAGCATCTTAAGTTTAACTAAGATTATAGAAAAAGTTATAAAAATTTATGACATTTTTTCTCGAACTAAAGATTTATGGTAGCAAATAGGTATACTATAAAAATTTAATTAATGACAAAATCTAATAATACTTATTTTGTATCATAAATTTTATTATTTTATTATATAAATTTAGAAAAAAAATGAGATGCTTTGACTCTCAAAAAATTCCAACTTATAATTTGGGATGGAGGGAGTAGTAAGGAAAGGCAATGGCCAAGAGATACATGATAGGAGTAGTTGGCATTTGAGGTTAGAAGTAGGAAGGTTAGATTTTAAGGTTTGAGTGTTCCAATTCGTTTTAGACATGGGAGAGAGTGGCAGACAATAAAAAATCCATGTTCCAATTGGTTTCGGCATTGAACTCCGTACTATGCTTAGACCTACTCTAACTCGTAGTACATGCACAAGAGAGATTGAGTCCATCAAACTCCCATAAAATGAGAGTGAGTGATGGATGAAAAAACCTTTCTCTCTTTAATACTACATATAGGTGATAGAATTAGTAGCTAAAACTAAAATTTAGGTGATTATATTAGTTTTATTATTATTATTATTATTATTATTATTATTATTATTATTATTATTATTATTATTATTAAATGTTGATCTAAAAAGATCTCACTCTACCCCTCTTGCGAGGCCATGCGCATTGCGACCCTACTAATTTGAGTATGTGACTGTCTTATATCTTTCTTAACCTCACAACAAATGCAGGCAATAGTCACATGTTTAAGGTGAGTTAATCTCAAGTCAATTGTCTATACAAGATTAATTTTTTTATTGCACCTAGCATTTATTATAGGCCTTCAAATTTATTTGATTTGATCAAAATAAGGTTGGGCCAAGTCGAACTAAATCCAACAAAGATATAACTAAGTCACTATAATTATTATGGATAGATTCAGATTACCGTGCAACAAGTTGTATATCACGTTGCAACACTCTGATATGTTTGCTAGTACCTATTGAAGGGAGAGTTTCTCTCTGCCTTTCGGTTTGTTAGTCTCTCCAGTTTATTCTCGCTACTTACTAGGGCTCATTTCTGAAATAGTGATGTCATTTATGACTATTTTTTACCATTATCATATTTTAGCTTTCAATTTTTAAATTTCTATCAATATCATATTTATTTGTCAAGAAAATAGTTAAAATGAAAATATGATGAGTTTTCGATTATCGGGAACCGTTTCCCTATTGTAATTGACCGTTTCGATTGTTTCATCCTGCTCTCTCCACTACTGCGAGCATAAAAATGCTGGCTGATTTTATTGAGAGTAATAATGTATGATGAATTATTAAGGATAAGAAGAGTCTTATTTGATTTCCATTTTTATCCGTGACCGGAAGTTAGAATAACGTAAGTTCAACCATACTACAGCGTTCAATTGAATTCAAAATTATTAAATTATATATGACACAATCCATATTTTCGTTACTCCTATAACACCTGAACTCTAAAAATTGTACTGTATACTTTGAATTTTTTTTAATTTTAACCCTTTTTTTAATATAATTTTAAATCTAACATTGTCGGTTTTTTTTAACTAACACTTTTGGCCGCGCCTATTGCCCTGGCGCGGTCAAATGCCTGTGCCGCGCCATGCATGGTGGCGCGGCAGAGGGTTGACGTGGCGAGGGCTGACTTGGAGACCGCTGACGTGGCAGCTCCTGCCGCGCCATCGATCTTGGCGCGGCAGGACCATATATATACCGCCCGCGCAGCCACACCCCCTGGCCGCTGCGCCTGCCGCCCGTACGGAGTACCTGGATGGTTGAATCGAAACGCGTCGTGCACGTATTTTGTTGAGTTTTTTTCATTGCCGAATAAAGAATTTGATAAGCCAATGATAAGTTTTTTTATTTTTCATAATACGGTTATGCACCATTTAAACTAATCGATTACGAAAAATTGCCATCGGGACTTTCGATTCCCGAACTAGTTGGTACTTAATCTCGCCGGCAGTGCTGCCGCGACTCAAAGAAACGAATAAGAAGTAAGTTGACAAACTGACACATAACATATTCATTGTTTTGACATAAGTTTGAGATAACATAACCAAATAACCATGCAAGTTTCGGATGACAATATTCGTTTGACCTAACAAACTAAGACCCAGGAGTGTAAAGATCCCTCGGACGCCTCTGTCTCTTCGGATTTGTTGGCAACACATTGGGAGTGTAGCCAACGTCGGTATGGTTGTGTCGACGGTGCGTACGGCTCGTACCCTGCAGGTATATGATACGCATGATTACTTATGATCGTTAGTTCATAGAGCCTACGTATTGAAACAAACTATCTTTGTTAGTACCTGTGAGGCTCCTTGGGTGCCAAGCGGGGCACCACCTAGCTGACACATGCTGATCTCGTCCTGCGGCCATTCGTCCCACTAGTCGTGCTGTCCGTGGAAGCCCGGGGGTTCGTCGTCGTCGTCATCGTCCTCCTCCTCCTCCTCGATTGCAGGGTCATTCCCAGCGCTATGATGTGGTGGTGTGCGTACCGCGGAAGTGGCACCTATCATCGGCTGAGAAGAGCCGGCTGGTGTCCTCAAAGAGGCTGAAGACGTGCCACCCGACTGAGCCGAGAGTGGCGGTTCCTCATAAAGAGTGTCCATGCAGCTCAGCTTCTGAGCTAGCTTCATACAGCTCTTCTTCATCTTCTACATAAATAGACGTTAAAGTTAGTTTATTACACAAACGCACATACAGTAAAGAAATATTTTCAAAACGGATAAGTTTATGTTTACCTCCACAAAGTAGCCTTCACGTCCTGCAACGTCATGGTCATCTTGCCACAAGGTAGGTGGAACGTGTGGGTCTCAGGCCTCCATCTGTTATAAGAATAGAACGACTGTTAGTTGCCTCAAATTTATTACAAGAAAGTTTACGTACAAATAATGCACTCGCATCTGTCTACAGCTGCAGTAAGTAGTGCTGGGTCAAGGGGCGGAAGACCATGGTTTACAACACGGATAAGCTCGAGGAAGCCGGCACGCCGTATGTACGGCGTATAACGCTCGTCCCACTGATGCGCCCTGGTGTGCGTGCGGGGCCTCAAAGGAGGCAAGGACACCTTTGCGTCGTTGTCACTCAAGATGTGTGCTCGGTGCTGGTCGTTGTACTTCACCTCAAGAATGAGGTACAACGGGTGCTGCGTGAGAGGAGCCATCCTTTTACAAATTGATAAACAAAGCGTTAGAGTATTCAAATTGACAAAATTCAAGTTAACATTAGTAAGTTCACAAACAAATTCACTAACCTAAATCCCTAAACCCAAAATCCTAAGTATACTAGATAATAAATACATAATCAATCCATATAAAACTTTGGTTCCAAAATTACAAGTAATCCCTCCGTCTCAAAATAAATACACATCTTACTTCTCGAGTAGTCAAATATGTTTAAGTTTGATCAAAACTAAAAAAACGGTATCAATATTTGTATCTCCTAATAAGTTTATTACGAAAGTATACTCTATGCTTAATGTAATAGTACTTATTATGTAATAGTACATATTACGAAAGGTACTTCCTCCGTCACATAACAATAGTCGTTCTAAGATATCGCAAAGACACTAATACTGAATCAAAATAGCCTCGATGCCCCTAGATGCTCCTAGAAAAAGAAATGAAAATAGTCGTTCTACCGCTCGAGGATTGCGAGGGCACGTGGGGTATCTTAGAAATACAAAAAATACTAACTATACTACGTAATAATAAAAAAATATGAAATCGAGACGGAGGTACCTTAGGAGCGGGCGGCCTTGTGACGCTGGCGGCGGCGTTGTGGCGCTTGGCCGGCTAGGGCGGCGCCGCTGGGGAGCGCCGGCGCGTGGCGTGAGGAGCAGCCGAGGCCGGGTCAAGCGGCGCGGCGGCGAGGCGGCGTGCATGGCGATCTGGCAGCGTGGCGAACCATTGGCTGGCAGTCATGGCCAGGCGTTGGCGGCGCGAGGCGAGGCAGTGCATGCATGCATGGCGGTGGCGCTCGACGCCGTATATATATGGTCCCGCCGCCACATCGGATCGTATGCAGCAGACTTCTTGCGCCAAGGTAGGTGGCGCGGGCAGAGTCGCCACGTCGACCCCCAGTGCGGCCCTCTCGTCGCCCCTGCCGCGCCACCATGCATGGCGCAACACAGGCATTTGGCCGTGCCAGAGCAATAGACGCGGACAAAAGTGTTAGTTAAAAAAAACCGAGTGTTAGATTTAAAATTATATTAAAAAAATTAAAATTAAAAAAAAATCTATACTTTTTAGACGGTGGAGAAGAACTGTGGTCCGTCCCTGCCAGCCCAACGAAGCTGTCTGTGCACGCTGCACGCACGCACGCGTCCGTCTCACGTCACGTGAGTCGTGAGAGCTCCACCTGGGCCGCGGCCCTAGATTCCGCGCGCAGGCTCCTGCGCCTTCCAGAAGCTTCCACACCCATCTGCAGACCGGTCTGGCGGTCTCGTCGCCTCCTCTATCCAGACGCTTCCCTCTTCCCCTTTGCTCTCCCCCTCCCCTCTCTCCTCCCCCGTACCAAACAAACCTCACCGAGTCGCAACGACAGAGAGAACGCGAACACCCAAAAGAGAGCGAGTCTCCGGCGGTTACGAAGAGCGCGGGCGCGCCAAAGCGGCGAAGCGCGAAGGAAGGAAGCAAGCAGCAGCGGCAGCCATGGGGCTTGATTACTACAAGATCCTGGGCGTCGACAAGGGCGCCACCGACGACGACCTCAAGAAGGCCTACCGCAAGCTCGCCATGAAGTGGCACCCCGACAAGAACCCCAACAACAAGAAGGAGGCCGAGAGCAAGTTCAAGCAGATCTCGGAGGCGTACGAGGTAAGTGGGCGTCCGGAAGAGATCCACGCCGGATTCGTCTCCGCAGCCTGCCCAATCGAGCTCGGCAATGTCGTGACGAGCTCTGACTCTGTGTCCGTGCAGGTGCTGAGCGACCCGCAGAAGCGCGCGGTGTACGACCAGTACGGCGAGGAGGGGCTCAAGGGGCAAGTGCCGCCGCCGGCCGCCGGCGGGGCGGGCTCCGGCGGCGCGACCTTCTTCTCCACGGGCGGCGACGGGCCGACGGTGTTCCGGTTCAACCCGCGCAACGCGGAGGACATCTTCGCCGAGGTCTTCGGCGGCTCCAGCCCCTTCGGCGGTATGGGCGGCGGTGGCATGGGCGGCAGCGGCATGGGGGGTGGGATGCCCGGCATGCGGACCGGCGGGACGAGGTTCTCCTCGTCCATCTTCGGGGACGATATATTCGGCTCTGCGTTCGGCGGCGGCCCGGACGGGCACGGCATGCACACCGGCGGGCGGCCCGTGAAGGCGCCGGCCATCGAGCGGAAGTTGCCGTGCAGCCTGGAGGAGCTGTACAAGGGCACCACAAAAAAGATGAAGATTTCCAGGGAAATTGCTGACGCCAGTGGGTAAGTGCCTGCCTTCTGTCTCAGCATTGTTTATTTACTGTTGTTGCTTAATAAGTATTTGAAATTGAACTTCAATGCAATAGATAGATAGACGACGCCTTAAAATTGTTTGGGTTAACCGGATGAACTGATCTTTATCGGATTTATGTTTGGTTAATTTCTGCTGTTGAGTTCAAAGCTGAACTTGAATGTATGTGTAGTAGACGCCTCCGTTCAATTTAGTGATACTTATTATCTATCCAATCCATCCACCCTCGGATACTCCGTAGGTCCCAAAAATGAGTTCAATTCTAGATTTGAATCATGTTAAACTTTCTTAAATTTGACCATGTTATAGAAGATAGTATCAACGTTTATGTCTCTAAGTAGGCTTACTATGCCATGATTAATCTGATGACCTTCAAATTGTTTTACTCCTCAACGAGCTACAATCACACAATGTTTTTAGACAGGGAGAGTACTTGTCAATTTTTCATTGTTGATTGATGGTGTGTTCAGCTAAACCAACTTTCATCTAACCATTGCAGTAGTGGTTAGAGGCCACGTGGGAAGCTTGTCAGTTTTCGGTTTGTGGGGATCGGGATGTTTTTCTAAAGGACCGGTTCTTTCTTTCTAGTTTCCACCTGCCATCGTAGGAGGGTGGATCAACGTCCGACTACGTATGTTTTGAGCTTTATTACTGCTTTAGCATCGGTAGCTCACTCATCTTGCATTTGCCATTTGGATGTGTCAACTTGTTTGGTCCGTCAGGTGTCAGTCCACGAGCTAGCTCCAAAACCACAAAACAAGAAAGCTGAGCTCCATTTGCAGCTTGTGTGCTGACCACTGCTACCCTCTGTGTGTGTGCAGGAAGACAATCCCTGTGGAAGAGATCCTAACGATCGACGTGAAGCCCGGGTGGAAGAAGGGCACCAAGATCACCTTCCCAGAGAAGGGCAACGAGACACCCAACACGATCCCGGCGGACCTCGTCTTCATCATCGACGAGAAGCCGCACCCGGTGTTCACCCGCGACGGCAACGACCTGGTGGTGACCCAGAAGATCCCTCTGGCGGAAGCCCTGACGGGGTACAATGCACACGTGACGACGCTGGACGGGCGCAGCCTGACGGTGCCGATCAGCTCCGTGATCCACCCGGGGTACGAGGAGGTGGTGCGCGGGGAGGGCATGCCCATCCCCAAGGACCCGTCCAGGAAGGGCAACCTCCGGATCAAGTTCGACATCAAGTTCCCGGCGAGGCTCACGTCGGACCAGAAGGCCGGCGTCAAGAGGCTTCTCGGGCAGTAGAGCGCGTTGTGTTCTGTTATGTTGTGTATCAGACATTTTCTTGTTGGTTGATCTTGAACCGGAGGATGCTGCCATTTGCAGCGTCCGCAACGACGACGACGAGGCCACCAAGGGTTGAGAACTTGAGATGCATAGCATAGGATTCCTTGTGTAATCTTCCAGATGGGTGGTTGTCTGTTCAACGGTCCATGTCGTTGCAGCTTTGCAAAGGGTGGGATGGAATAATTGTTGAGCACACACACGTGCATTCTCTGTATTTAGTGTAAGGAATAGTTATTGGCACCATCAATTGTATTCCCTCCATAAAAAAAGAACGGAATTCTAGATTTAAGATGAGTTAAACATTCTTAATTTTAATAAAATTTATGGTACATATCTCTAAATAGGTTTACTATAAAAATGCATTCCATTAACTAATGCAATGATCTTTTAGTATAATAAATGTTAGTGGTTTTTTTACCGATTTGAGTAAATTTTAAATTCTGTCCCAAGTGCATATCTCCCCCTTAGAGTCAAACATAAGTTTGACTAGACTTGAAAAAATAATATTAACATTAGTATCATAAAATAAGTTTATAAATTTCCTATTTCTAAAACCTATCAGCGCTATTCTTAGCTACAACATGCTATTACTAGTAGTCCTAGAGTCAAACATAAGTTTGACTAGACTCTTAAAAAATAATATTAACATTAGTATCATAAAATAAGTTTATTACTACTCATATGAACGGCAGCGCTATTCTACATCCGCAATTCTACACCATGAGACAAACAGCCCACCGCCTCCACCCTAACCGACTGCACCAACCGAACCACCCGATCCGGCTACACCAACTAGCCATTCCACCTCCCCTGTCCACCCGAATCACAGAAATAACTCGACTTCCCCCGACAGCCTCGCGGACCACATCGGCGCCGTCCCAGCCCCACATACCACATCGGCGCCTTCCCCACCCCACTGATCACCACCAGCGGCGCCTCCCTCCCTCCCCCACCCCACCGATCACCTCGCGCCGCTCCTAGGCCTCTGCGCGCCCCCACCTCACCAACAACCTCAAGCCCCCGCCGGCGCCGCCCCCAAAGCCTCCTCGCTGGAACAACAGGCGTCCTGTAACTACTCTGTTCAGCGAGAAGCACAGCCCCGGGGGTAGCTACTTCGAATTCCACAACCCCGGCCTCCGGCTGCATAGCGCCCTCTACGTGCAACACGGGTTGGGCGGCGAGCCTGACTTGCTGCTGGACCCCAACACGTTCAGCGAGGACGGCGCGATGTTGCTCGGCATGAGCGATGACGGTGAACACTTGTGTAGGGTCGAGATGGCATACTAGAGGGGGTGAATAGTCCTTTCTAAAAATAATCGTGCCGGCTAATCGAAACAAATACAAAATTATAATTATCGGCCTAGCCAATACTACACTCCTCTATCTAAGTTCTCAAGCACCTTATAAAGATCCTAAATATGCAACAAAGATGTCCGGGCTAGCTAATGCCCACCTAACCAATTCTAGCTTGCAAGGTCACACAAACCTATGCAACTAGTACTTCAACCAAACCGGGGAGCACCTACACAATCTAGTGATGCAAAGCGCACAAAGCCTAAGCTCACTAGCAATGCTCAATAACAAGGCTACACAAACAAAATTAAAGAGCTCAAATTACTTAACTACATAAACTAAGCAATGTGACTAACAAGGTTACTCAAACCAAATTAGTCACGTAAATGAGCTACTTCTATGCTACACAAGCAAGAAAGCAACTAGCAAGCTACTAAAGCTAAACTAGTCACAAGAGTAACTACACAAGCACAATGTATGAAATGTAAATACAAGCTTGTGTTGCGTGGAATGCAAACCACCGAGAAGATTTTCTCTCTTTTTTCACCCTTTGTCATCTTCTTTTTGAAGCCAAGACCACTCATGTCACCAAACTTTCTTTGATTTGTCAACATATGCTCAAGGGTGACTTTTGAGTTGTAGCACCTCTCTATCTTGTTGCTCAATTTCTTCACTTCTCTTTTGAGCTCATTATTCTTCTTCAAAAGGTTAGTCTCACAAGACATATAAGTAGAACAAGCATCTATATTTGAAGAGCATAGCATATCTAATAAATCATCACAAGAGATGGATACATGCTTCTTTCCTACATCACAAGAGTTAGTCACATGTTGCAATTGATCACTTGACTTATGTGATGAGCTCTCATTCTTTTTAAGTTTCTTTGAAAACATTTTAATGAGAGAAGCATGTTGTTCTAATAATTCTTCATGAGATGCAAGTAGTGTCTCATGAGTTAATTTTAGCTCACTATGTGAAGATTTAAGAACATCAAGTAAGTGCTTATATTCTTCACATGAGTTCTTTAGAAATGAGTTTTTATTTTCCAATTTCAATGTTTTAGCTTTCTTATTTTCTAAAGATATTGTCATGCTAACAAGTCTACTCACAAGCTCATCATATGAATCAACATGATCAACCACATTAGCATTAGATACCTTAGTGTCACCTTATGACATGAAGCAATGAGGTGATGTAGGAGAGCTTGTAGTAGCAATGTCTTCCGGGCATGATCCATCATTATCACCATCAAGTGTGCATGAGGTAGTATCATCATTTGACCATGAGGTGGAGCAATCTTCCACAATCATCGACTTGTGGTCATGCTCAACACACTTATGTGCCTCCTCCTTGGGCTCCTCCTTCTTGAACTTACCATCATCCCATGTGGAGGAATCATCGAAGGTGTGCTTGATTGATTCCCACATCTCACGAGCGGTTTCGACATAGTTTATCTTTTTCATCAAATCAAAGCTCAAAGCATTCATTAGATAACAACAAGTTGTGCATCAAGTTCAAAGAGAACCCTTTGAGCTTTGGTGATATTTCTATGGTCCAAGAAATTAGTGAGACCACTAGTGACAACCCACCAAAATTTAGGTCCATTTGCACAAAAATGATCAAGTATGTGATTTTTCCAAAGTGCAAAGTTTGTGCCATAAAAAATGTGTGTCTCACAATCATCTAGCCCATAAGTCGCCATCCTCTCGGGTCGGTGAAGACCACAAATGAGAGACCTAGCTTTGATACTACGTGTAGGGTCGAGATGGTGGACTAGAGGGAGGTGAATAGTCCTTTCTAAAAATAATCGCGCCGGCTAACCGAAATAAATGCAGAATTATAACTATCGGTCTAGCCAAGACTACACCCCTCTATCTAAGTTCTCAAGCATCTTATAAAGATCCTAAATAGGCAACAAAGGTGCCGGGCTAGCTAGTGCTCACCTAACCAATTCTAGCTTGCAAGGTCACACAAACCTATGCAACTAATACTTCAACCAAACCGGGGAGCACCTACACAATCTAGTGATGCAAAGCGCACAAAGCCTAAGCTCATTAGCAATGCTCAATAACAAGGCTACACAAGCCAAATTAGAGAGCTCAAATTACTTAGCTACACAAACTAAGCAATATGACTAATAAGGTTACTCAAACCAAATTAGTCACGCAAGGGAGCTACTTCTATGCTACACAAGCATGAAGGCAACTAGCAAGCTACTAAAGCTAAACTAGTCACAAGAGCAACTACACAAGCACAATGTATGAAATGTAAATACAAGCTTGTGTTGCGTGGAATGCAAACCACCGAGAAGATGATGAAGACAATGTTGACACAGTGATTTTCTCCCGAGGTTCACTTGGTTGCCACCAAGCTACGTTCCCATTGTGTCGACCGCTCACTTGGTGGTTCGACGGCTAATTGGCATCACCCATCAAGCCCGCATGTCGGGCACCGTAAGAACCTACCTCAAAAGTGAGGGTAGCTCAATGACACGCTCTACTAGAGTTGCTCTTCGTGATCCCCGCGGGGTGAGCACAATCCCCCTCACAAATCCTCCTCTAGAGCACCGCACAATCTTCTCGCGTGCTTCAACGGAGTCGCAAGCCACCAAGCCATCTAGGAGGTGGCAACCTCCAAGAGTAACAAGCACCACCGGCTTGCAACTCGATCACCTAGTGCCACCTGATGCAACCTCACAATACAATTGCACTAGGATCGCTCACTCACTCAATCAGATAAACACTATCAAGCAAGAGTGAGTTAGAGGGCTCCCAAACACACCTACACAAGCCACCAAGGCTCAAGGGTGCTCAACAACCAGCCTAAGCCCGAGCTCCATCCCTATTTATAGCCCCTCAAGCCAAATAGAGCCGTTGGAGCAAAGCTGCTGGTTTCTGAGGGCACCGGATAGGGCGATGCCTGGCACCGAACATGGCGGTGCCCTCCCCAACGGTCGAATTCCAATGGCTAGAAACTAAACTAGCCATTGGTCATTGGACAGGGGTGGCGGTGGCAATGCCCTAGGGGTGGCGGTGACCACCCAGGCCAACCCTGAAACCCTTGCCCTCGGGAAAAATAGGGCGGTGCACCATCCTAGGCACGGCGGTGCCCAGCGGTGACCAAGCCCTGCTTCCCTCGCTCTCTGCCAAAAAGCGGTGGTGGCACCGGACAACACCCGATGGTGCACCGCCCTCGCCATGGCGGTGTATACCGTCACTTCTGGTGACCACCCTGATCCCTGTTGCGCTCGGCCAAGACCAAGTGGGCACCGCCCTAAGGGTGGCGGTGCCACCGGACAACCAGTGGTGGTGCCCTCAGGGCAACACGCTGCCCATGGCCTCCCAACCGATCACCGCCATAGGGGTGGCGGTGCCACCTAGGCAACACCCTGAGCCTGGTTTCGCCTCCTCTTTTTTACCAACTTCTTCACCTTTGTAAATGTACCAACACCACCAAGTGTACAACATCATGCGCAAGTGTGCTAGCATTTTCACAATCATTTTCCAAAGGATTAACACTTCTTCTTGCCACGCCACTAGATCCTAACATGTATGCAAAGTTAGATAGCTCAAGTGGCACTAGATGACCGATATGCAAACAAGTTTGCCCCTCTTAATAGTATGGCCATCTATCCTAAACCCGGTCATCAACTTCTCTACAAGTCT